CCCAGTTCAAGTACTGTAGTGGGTACTTCTTCTTCTTCTTCTTCTTCAACTTTTCTTCTTTTATTATTTAAAAACAAATAACATATTTCTTCGGAAAACCTCGATAGTTACTCCTCGCCAAAGCCAAGTCTTATGCTTTATATTGCTTGTATCCACACAAAAACTAGCACCAAACTAGTTCGGGTATACCTCGCATTGTTTCCTCTATTGAGGTTACTGTATATTTCTTGAAAATATTGGCTACATTATTGTTTTTTAAAAATAAAAGTTTTGCTCCACATATAGTTTGGGTGATTGTCGGAAAGAGTTTTTTCCTTTGTCTACTGAGCTTATTTTATAAATTATTATCTTTAATTACTCTATATATAACTACTTCTTCTATTTTTATGATACTAACTTCTATGTCTTTGCTATTATCTATTACTTCAGTATTAACTACTTCTCTATTATCTTTATAAGTCAAAATTGGTATCTTAGTAGAAGTAAGTTCATTGTTTCTATAAATCTTGTTAAGTATCTGATACCATTCTGCGTACTTAAATTTAATTAAATAGCTTATATCATTTTGTTTCTCTAACTTGCAGCTTCTGCACATGATCATTAATATAGAACTTCTTGAGTTATTATTTTCTTCTATTTTCTAATACTTTACTGTAAAGTACTTAGACTTTTTATAACTTTTCTACATTCAAGTTTTTCTTTCTTCTTGAATATTACCTATTCTTTTTTTCTTTTATCTGTAGATACTCTTAGTTCTTTACACCTTATAGCTGAAATATTTGGCAAATCTATCTGGAACTCTGCTTTTAGAACTCTTGAGCTGCTATCTTCAAAGACTTTTGTCTTCAAATCTTTGTACTAGTTTGGTTTTCATCCTCTTCTCTTATACCCTCTAATAGTTTTGACTTGTTGCTATGTTAGCAAGATATTATTATTTTTTGTGATTAGCTACTCTAATACAAAAATATTCATATTATTGCTATTTCTATAGTTAATTATTTCTTTTCTCTCTAGTATACTTGATAAACTAGTGCTTTTTAGGTTTAGACTTGTTTTGTAAAAACTGCTTTTCTGAAAGCTAAAATTTAGTTATTTTGCCTCTGCTATCACTTTAAAAGCTAGATTATGTTTGAAAACTATATCGTCTAACTTTACTTTACTGCTAGTTGTATTACTTAAACAAGTACTTTTGTGTTATGCTTCTCTAGTTCTGAGTCTTGTGGTAATTCTTGCTCATCTTGCTTATTCCTATGTATTGTCAGTTCTGTAATATGATGTACTAACTGATTTTGCCAAATTGTACATATTCCTAATATTTTTAAATGACTATACATACTATTTAGAGCTGACTTCACTAGATCTAATTTGTTTTTAATTAGTATTCAAATAGGCCTTTGAATATGCTTGCATATATTTTTAGAAAGAAATGAAGTTTGAAGTCTATATTCAATACTCAATAGTAAAACACTATTATTTAGGCAAATCAACTAGCTTACTGAAGCTTTTTTTTACAGAATAGCTTTGCATATCTTTGCAACTTCTTTTGAAATGATTAGTTCATTACATTCTTTTCTACCTTTTTCAGATATCCATACTTCAAGGTATCTTATTGCTTTTTTTTTTTTTTGCTTATACTATATCTTTGTTTTTGCCTAAACTGATTTTAGGTATATAATTTGTTTTCCTTCCTTTGTCTTTAAAGTTCAATACCAAAAGCTCTAATTTTTGCTATTAATTTCAATATTATTAAGTTTATAAAACTCTTAAAATATCAGTAATTTTTTGTAACTTTTTCTTTGATCTTGCTATTCAAGTTGTATTATCTGTATAAGCTAACACTCCTTGCTACCAATATGATACTTGAGTTCTGTTTGAGCTTAAATCAGAAGGCTATTCTAATTCTATAATATAACTTATATTTTTTTTCTTATAGATTAAGCATAGTGGAAGATTGTAAAAGATATGCTATTCATGAAAATAGCATCAAGTAGTCAAAAAAAACTCTCTCCGTAGATCAATTTTACCAAAATTCGAGATAAAGAATAGTCTATAGAAAACTCCTTAAATAGCTTAAGAAACATAACATAGTTCACTAAGATAAAAGTTTCAGAAACAGAAGTTATAGCTAAACAAGTTGCAAAAATAACTAAAGAAAAGCAAAAGAAGAAACAAAACCCAGAAAACT